AAGAGACACCCGATGGAAATCTTGCCGTAAGACTCGCACCCAGTTGGTCCTTCACTCTTATAGCTTGGGCATCAAAATTCTCCTTTCCTCTTTTTTCATCCAAGAAAGCAAACAAAGTAAAACAGTAAGACATGCCCCTAAAAGAAGAAACAAAATGACAACATTTCTCCCATTCCTACTTCTGGAAGAAAGTTATTTTTAGTGGTCTTAAGCTAACCCTTGCTATATTGTGATTTAACTTTCTCAGGACCATTTCTTTATTTTAGTGAGCTTTTTGAAATCTCCGCATACGTATTTGTAGTTTGTGGCCTGTGAGACCAAGAGGGGAATGGCAGTCGGTGTAAGGTGGGAGACTGGGGCAGAAGCCCTTTCCTGGCATTCTTTAGCTTATACAGCGTAGATTGGCTTTCTTTGGCTGGAAAATGTTTATCTTTGCTTTCCACTAGATTTTTTCTGGTTTGGTTGCGATCTTCCTGTAGCGAGAGAGTATGTTTATAGTTTAATTCTTCAAAATCTTATGTGCTTAATAAGTATTTGCTGCTGACTATAGAAAGCTTAACTGTAAGGGAAATATATCTTTATAATAATTTTCTCAGAAAGTCCTGTTTTAATAGTGAAAACAACCACGTTCCTAATGAGCTCACCTGTCACCTCTTCAATGAAGTAAAAATTATTAATAAAATTAAGTTTAGTAACGATGTGTAGCTCTGTTAATGAATGATGATTTGTAAAAAGTTATTGGGATAACTTGTCTATAAATTTTTCTCCATATTTAAGCCTACATAATATTTTAAATACATTTGTTTTTGTTTAAATTCCCAGATTTGTTTTTTACATGAAAAATGTATTGTCCCAAAACAAAACAAAAGAATATTCTTGCACCGTTTCTTAGGCATGCTGCACTCTGACTTACATGTTTGTAATACTGAGGCACGCGAGTTAATACTTTATTTAAAATATAAGAATGTGAGGAATAGTCAGTTCACTTTGGAGACAACTTCCCATTGCCAATAACAGTCATTAAACTCTTAATTTTCTACTGCAGAACACTTTAAGGGAAAATGAAGTATTTTCATGTATGTTGATTTTTTTACTTGGTTTCCTTTCACTTTTCTCTGAAAAGCAAATTTAAAGTTTTTTTATTATGTGTTTTCTCGATCACTGTTACCAGGATTCAGTTTTCTACATTTATGTTTTGTTGCTGATTCCTAGTCTTTTAATGTCTTTGTAATTCTATTTGCTGTTTCTGTCTAACTCTATGATTCCTCTTATTGCTGAGCAGATTAGCTGAAGGCCTGAAATAACATTTTAAAGCAACAGTTGAGCAGTACTCTGGGCCAACAACATTTCAGTTGTGGTTCAGGATTTCCTACTAACTTCGTTCAATGAGAGCACAAGTCGAGTGGGCAGGGAGTCCTAGACAAGCCACAGGCCTAGCAGCCCATCAGGGTCCCCCTAATAAGGTATTTAGAAATAGAGGGCAGCTTACACAAGCTTGATTGACATCAGGTCTTTTCACTCCCCGACATAACCAAAGAATCTGTGTAAACCAGTCTCTCTTATTGACCGCCAGGCCAGGCAAAGAGCCAAGCTGCCTAAGGGCAACTCTGCCATCTCCTCTTAGGCCATTTCATTCCTTTCAACCCATAGAACCTCCTGAATAGAAAAGATAGCTTTCCAAAAATTAATTTTGAGGCTAGATAAGTGGTTTAAAATGATGCTATATTATATCCTATTCAGTTCTATTAAAATTCTACAGATGTGCACAAAAGGGGAGGCTGTTTTTTGCCTTTCGCCAGATAAAGGACCAAATTTAAACAGTGCCCGGGTCGCCAATTTCTCCATGCTGTGATTGGAAGGCTTCTCCAGCCACCTGTCACAATGGTGAGATTTTGTCATTAAAGATCCCTTTCTTGGAGAAACTCTGGGCAGGCTATAGGCATTTTCTTCTATGATACAGGGAGCTGTGATTATAGCCATGAGCAGTGTTATCTGAATTAATATGTGATTTAACTTCTAGTTGAAATTTTGACTGAAAAAATAGGAAACTACATTTGATTTAGAGTACAGGGCAATGCCTTGGTCACCCATTTGGATAGAGTATTTTAATAGAAATAAAGTTTGCTCCCAATATTTTTTTTCTGGCCTGTTCTGATACTTCTAATACTAAACACAAAAACAAACCAGGAAGGGCTATCCTCCAAAGGATATATCTCTGAGTGGTGGCAATGGTTTATTTTCCTCCCAAATTCTTGTAAATTTATTTTTTTGTCTTTGACTACTTGCACGCTTGTTTTCCTCATTAAAAAGCCTTGTTATACCACTCATCCGGTCATAAAACTGTTGGCCTTTATTCTAGGAGCTGGTACTGAGCAATGAAAGGGACAGCCGTGATCTCTATTTTCACTCGAGCTTATAGGCTAAAACAGAAACAGACAATTAATGGAAAATGACGAGATGGTGTGATACATGCTAAGACAGGAATACAAAGTGCAGGAGAGAACGTGGAGTGTCAGAGACAGTCCATTTTTCCAAGGTTGGCCTCAAAGGGTAAATATAAATTAGCCAATAAAAGGAAGTTGGGATGGGATTAGTCTAGGAAAAGGGAACAGCATGTTCAAGGCCCAGTACCAAGAGGGACATAATAGGTAATGGGAAATGAAAAGTGAAATTTCTCTATAGCTAGAACAAGGAGTGGAAGATGCCCCCAAAGACTCTAAAGGGACTTTAAAGCAATGTTAAGGGCATGGCTTTTATCCTAAAGGAAAACAAAATCACACGAAGATTTTAAGCAGAAGCCGTAATTTCACTTTAGAAAGAACACTCTGTAGCTGCTTTGCAGATGGGTGGTGACAGAGTAGGATGCCAGCCAAGAGGCTAGTACCATGTTTGAGGCGAGAGATGGTGATGACTTCAACTAAAGACATGGGGAAAGGGAGGAACGGGGGGCATCGAGAAATATTTGGAGGTAGAAGAAAGAACTGGTGATTTATTGACTGATTAAATGAAAATGATGAAGGATGTGATGCAGGAAGAGGGACTGTCTAGGATGATGCCTAATAAAGGCAATGATTAAATGCAAATCACTGAAATAGGGGAAGATGCAGAGAAAGAGCAAAACCAAGCTGGGGAGGTGGAAAATAAATTAGAAACGGACACAGTGGAACCATACTCGGTTGAGTTGCTAAGTTTTGGCGGCCATGGACATCCAAGTGGAAATCTCAGGTAGGGCAAGATATGTGCGAGTTTGGACATCAAGGGGAAAATCTGGACTGGAGATGTAGCGTTGAGAGTTTTCAGCATGTGACAGCTAAGGGTCTGGGTAGAATGCAAAGAAAGGACAAGACCCTGACGATTTGTGACAGGTGTGCACACTGGGAACGCCCTCCCCGCCCCGGCAGCATCACGAGCCTTCAGCTCGTTTTTTCCTTGGTCCAGATGCCTTTAGCTCTATTCTTCCTGGAGTAACACCATGTTCCAAGTAGGTTTTATTAAAAAGTGGAGTGCCATCTCCAGTACATTTTAAGCTTAAGAGCACGTTAGTATTTGGAAATCTCTTTTTCAAGTAAATTTGAAAGTTCTTAATTTACCTGTGTGCTTTTATTTGCAAGTATTTTGAACTTCTATAGTTAATACTTTTACTATAGCTTTTTTATAAAAAGAAAATACTTTATGTCATGTTATTATAAACCAACTAGTATATTATATTCATGTTTCTAGAATCCTGTATTCATATATAAATGAAAGAAAGCACTTGGGGTCCCATATCACAACCTTTTCAACTAATAGTTTTTATTTAATATAAAAAGCAGGATTATTTTTCAAACCCCAGTCACGGTCTGTGGGAAGGATAGTTCCATTGTACCAGGTAATCATGCCTATATGTTATATAATAAGAGAAAATACTTGGTATGTTGCGTTACTTAAGGAATTCTCGAGAAGTTGCCTGTCCCATTCCTTACTCTCCTGACTGCTTTTTAAAGGTGAACAGATCCTTGAAGGGAGACTGTGTGATATGTACAGCATGCTATTTATACTTGAAAAGTGTTAAATTATTCTAATCATACTTATAGTAGCAATCAAGATTAATTGCAGCTATATTAGGATTACTTATTATTTGTTCTACTTCGGCAGTAACACAAACCCAATTGTACAAGCAATTTCCATAATCCAAATTGTGAGAGAAAATTAGGGGGGGAAAGAGACCATGCAGAACCAGTTGAAATAGTGTTCAAAATAAATCCTTAACCAGATGGTTATCTAAAATTCTCTTTTTGAAAAAGAGCTGATTCTGAACAGATTGTAGATGTGTCCCGCTGGTGGAAGTGGATTATCTATCTTGAATTGGATTGTGATGACGATGACCCTATTCTAAGTAAACCAAATCTCTTGAACTATATAATGAGATCAGGAGGAACATTCGGCCTGAGAACAGATTGCAAGGACTGAAAGGATTTTCCGAGTGTTTCCTCCAGCCTCTTTTCTCGATGTACATACTATTTTGGCTTTGTCCTGCGGAGATACCTGACCCTGTTGTTCTATGTGCTCTCTCTCTTTTCTTACTCTTATTTTTATTTTGATAAAGTAGAGCTGAATGAGTAGCAGGAAGCTGCGAAATCTGTCTTACACCAAGGTGACTGTGGAAGAATCTAGAATCTTTATTTACTTTGCAGGAGGATTGCAGAAAAATAAATGAATAGACATTTAACAGATTCATCCTTATTTCTTCTTTAGGCCATGAGGAGGCAAAAGTTGCTTGAACAGAGTATCCAGTCTGCCCAGGAGCTTGAAAAGTCCTTGCTCTTAATTCAGGAGTCCCTCTCATCCATTGACAAGCAGCTCGCAGCTTATATTGCCGACAAAGTGGACGCAGCCCAAATGCCTCAGGAAGCCCAGGCAAGTAGACTGGGAATGAGCATCTGCTCTTTTGTTTTTTATTATCTGAACAAGATATGGCCGAATTTCTAACTTAAGTGTTATTCAGTTAGTTGTGCGGAGGGCTGTTTGATTGAGTGATTTGACTATGTGGAGCTAAGAGGAGAAAAGGAGCTCTAGATGAGCGCTGTAGGATTTAGTTTTGAAAGTACGTGATGGAGGAATTTGACATCGAGACATCTGCAAGACGGTACTATCACACTGAAGTCTGCTGTTTCCCAGTATGCTCCAGCTAGTATCCTTAAGCCATGGAAAACCACAGGGATTTAAACTGTAAAGAAAATATTTTTAATGGTGCTATGAAAAAAAGCAGCATCCGACATTTCATTATCAGCTTGTCTTTTTTATCTTGGAATCACAAGCCATGTGATCTCTGTGTGTTGCAGGTAGTTGAGATGCAAATTTGCATTTTATCACTAATCATACTGTTTACTCATGCATTCGACTCTATTCAGTCAGATTATAAACTGTGTTAAGACAGTTTTTCTAGAATGAGAGTTAAAATGGTAATGAAAATAAATCTAAGTCTACTATATTGAGCAAATCTAGGCTACATCTAAATTAACTTGCACCTTGGAAGTATTTTTAAAATTCTGTATTTCTGTTTTAAATAACATTTAAATGTTCATAGGTGTTATTTATTTAAATGTCTTTAGGACTTTCTGATAGTTATTTTTCAAAGCATATGTGCATAGTATGAAATCTATAACCAAGGACAACTCAGACCAATATACTATGATGTGAGGGGCATTAGAAGGTTATCTCCCCATCCCAAAGCCCCTTCCCCACTAATTGGGTGAAATAGTGGATTTATAGGTAATTGTTACAGGGCAATTACAGTGTGGCGAGTCACAGTTACATTGGTACCCAGAACTTGGTGTGCACAAGAGCATGGGTTAGTTTACCATCCTGTCTATGTTTGACCAAGAAAGCCCCTGAGATTATGGGGCAGAGCACAGAACATTTTGGTAGACTCCACAAGTTCAGTGCAGAGGGTTTCCTCATTGACTATTGCAATCGGAGATGTAGAAAGTGAAGTTTTGGGTGAATCCTGATTATAAAATCCTCATGATAGTTTTTTACTCGGACAACAAACGTAAATGCTCTAGTAAACAGGGAGTAATAGCAAAGGCCCCTGAGAAGTTTAGCCTCCCCAGGTATGCATTTCTTCAAACTTGCGAAAGAAAAGTCCAGTCAAGTTCTCTGGCATTTACTGTTCCTGAGACTTTCCCTATTTGAATTACATAGACAATTTTATAGGCAGGCTTTCGAGAAAAGCATGATGGAAATGAGAAATTCTTACTGAACTGAGAACTACATGATTGTAGCCCAGCCAGCCAGTGTGGCTCAGTGGTTGAGCATCAACTTAGGATCCGGGAGATCAGGGTTCGATTCCCGGTCAGGGCACATGCCCGGGTTGCTGGATCCCCAGCAGGGGGCGTGCAGGAGGCAGCCGATCAATGACTCTCTCACCATTGATGTTTCTCTCTCTCTCCCTACCCCTTCTACTTGTTTCTACTTTCTTTCAAGGGAGTTTCAAATTGAGTTTCAGGAAATACAATCCTTGAAGTAAATCTGAGTACTTGATAACTCTGCTCCAGAAAACAATTCACTTGCTGTCATCTTAAAAGAAAATCACAGAGAAGAATGTTTCAGTAGCTTTCACGGGGGTTGCATTTTCCAATATTATATATTACCACTTGGGGAATTCCAAGTCAAGAATTATCTTGCAAATACAGGTGCAACCAAAAATGCACAAAAGGTGGACTTGAGCTTGTTAGTACTTAAAAATCTCTTTTTTCAAGTACTGTAGATTTGAAATTTCTTAATTTACCTGTGTGTTTTTATCTGTAAGTATTTTTGAACTTCCATAGTTAATACTTTTACTATAGCTTTTTATTTAAAAAAATAAAATAAAATATGTTATGCTATTATAAACTAACTAGTATGTCATATTCATGTTATAGAATCTAAATGAAAGAAAACACTCAGGGTCCCACACCACAACCTTCTCAACTACACAAGATTTTTTTCCTGAAAAGCTCCAATTTTTTCTAAGACAATAATAGATTTGCCTATCTCAATTTTGCTACTCATAGTCTCGTTGTACACACCTCAAAACGTAACTCTATAAAATTTTATAGTACAAATTTCTCATGTTGATATTTAGTTTTATACTGCACAGAATTTTCCTTAACTCCATTTCAAAGTTGAGAGCAGTCTTTAATCGAACATCCCTCCAAATTCATGTCATTAAAGTTAAAAAAATAAGCAGCTCTATTCTTCCTTTAGTTTACAATCATGTAGTTCTTTTTTTTTTTTTTTTT